AACACCAGCAAATTTTACCGTGAATTGTTTCTCGCCGCTGGGTCCGATGGTGTGTGCCGTCTTGTTCTGGTACTCTTTTTCGTGATCCCATTTCCATCGAGCATCGAGTGTTTTTTCTGGCCCCATTAGCATTGTGCCCATTTTGGTGTCGTTCGATTTTGTTGCCACATTGTTCATTTCTTGTTCGCACAGGCTCCCTGGTGACCAAATACTGTGCGTCCTCGATCGTCCTTTTAGGGACAAATTTAACGGCACATCCTCGTCTGCAACACACCAAAACCCGAACACAGGCTGAAGTTAAGCAACTCCACTTCCAGCAGGTTCATGCAGGCTCACCTATTTGGCTTTTTTCCATTCTGCTTTCGACTGATGATGGCGCCTGTTCGGGGCTGTGCTGCTCGAAACGTCGCACGCCTGCCCCATACGACAGGCAGAATCCGGGCAACAAATTGGGAAGGACGGGGAAGCCGCTGGGGAAAATCGGATAAGGAGTGAAGCGATTATTGGCGGAAATCATCGCCTCCATATCTGAAGCAACAGAAGAACGCCTGATGATCAAGGGAATTTTTTTTGGCTTCAACGGACTTACTTTTGCAAAACTCCCGATGTTCCCGGCGATATACCTGGGTGAAGGCACTTTGGCGGTAGGCAGGCACGTCACAGGCATGGGGCGAGGCTGGACTTAAACTCCTGCTGGACTCGCCCCTTGTGCTGCTTCCAGGGCTGGAACGGGGCGAGCGAGTAGGCGAGTCAAGTAGCAAAGGTGTGTCGAAGGGATGGCTTAACACTTTCACCCTTGGCATACTGAAAAAAAAAATTATTTAGTGAACTAACTTCAGATGAAGAACGAACCAAAGTCACTTTATAAAGCGCCAATTTGCAATCAGTTTAGATCAGGAAGGTACTGCTGTGGATTGTTGGTCCAGATATAAAAACATGCCCCAAAGAATACTGTTTTTGTTCATTAGTTCCACACTTTTTGCAATGTTTTCTTAATATTTTGGTGCGAGTTTATCAGCCAATTTTATTCTTCCTCCAGTGCCCGCTTCTATTTTGCTTCTGTCTGCAATTCGAATTTCTGTTGACACCCGCTCTTCACCAACAGACCGGCGGGTGACTGAACATAAATCAATTGATGGCCAGGAATCGTCAGCGGGGTGCTTAATTCCCTATTTACATTAAAACATCCTCATCGGAAACACGCAACGATTTCCTCTATTGATCGCCGAGATTGTCGATCTAATTGCTCTGCTTCTGATGACGAACGTGGAAGCCAAATGGACATTAGAGGCTCTGATTATATGACCCGAAACTCGAGCACGAAACACGCACATGTTGCCCATCATTTTCAATTTACCCCCCGTTCATGGGGTAAAAAACACGAAATCTCTTTCGAAAGTATGGAGGTTTTTTGCTCGCGGTGGTGGAAGTTAGAAGAGTTGTAAGGCAAGTGGCAGTTAGAACTGTTGGTTGATGCACATCTAGAGCTAAAATTCTCCAAAAATTGGGTTTCCTTTATTAAAAAGCTCGAAAATATTTTTCGAATGTGGGATAATGAGCTCAAGTTCAGAGAGTGGATGTATTCCAGTGGAAGTCGTTTGTTTGTCTTATTGAAAACTAATTGTTTCAAAGGTTTTTTAACGTTTTTCGTACTGGAAAGTTTCATATTTTAAGTCAAAAGGTTTGGATTATAATCGGCCAAATTAGAAAGAAAAACATGAAAGGCTGAAACAGGGACAGGCGAAATTGAAATGGCAAAGAAAATATTAAAAAGCCACTCAACGTTTTGTTGAAGTTTCGGTTCCTCTTTATTCAATAATCCCAGTAAGTACGTTTCTTCTCAATGTTTTAGTAGCTTTCCACAGCAAAAAGTTAAATAGTAAATTTTAAAAGGTTTAGCGTAGGTAAGAATTGAAGACGTTTTAGCACTAACAACGCGTAACAGCAACCTCTATGAAGAACAAGCGAAAACTGTCCAAGAAAATCAATTTGGAGCAAGTCTGGATCTGGATAAATTTTGATTGATGTGAACAATTGTATTTTTGCTCCAAGCGTCATTTAGTGCAATTCTTTTCTGTTAGTTTGTATTTTTTCAAAAATTAAGTGGCTCAGAAAAATATACTACAGGGTGGCAAATGAAACAATGCAAAATTGGCAAACTTTCCGCGTGTTCTTAGTTGGACAAATAACTATATTTTGTCTTTCAACACCACAAGCATTAATGTCTCATATCTCTATAAACTTTTTTGATTTTTGCGTGTCTTAAAAAATCGAGTTTTTGGTCTTGCAGTGATAGATTTTTTTTCTCTTGAACCCATTTTCAAAAAGGATTGACGAACAGAAAACAAATGGGGCTCGAACACTCTTGAAACAGAGACCAAATCACTCTAAGCAATCAGAATCTATGCAGTTCCAAAATAATGGCAAATTTGGCCGTGTAAGTTCAAAGCAGTTAGGCATAAAATGCATCTAATTTAAAATCAAAATCAATTCGTGGGCTTCAGTCATTTATTGTCTATTTATCAATTAAAATACGTTTCGGTGTTTTCCACCATCATCAGTTTCTATGTGTAGCGTTGTTGCTACTTTAATCCTTGGCATATATTTAAGCCTTGGCAAAATATATGCCAAGGCTTAAAGTAGCTTAAACTGATGATGGTGGAAAACACCGAAACGTATTTTAATTGATAAATAGACAATAAATGACTGAAGCCCAGGAATTGATTTTGATTTGGAATTGA